GGGGAGGGGGAGGGGGAGGGGAAAGGGATACAGCAATACCATTAGACCCTTAGCCGGCTTTTAAGCCCTCGAATGATCTGAAAACTCATCAATTTATAGAAATAGTCCCTTGCCACATGGTATTGCAGAAGTGGAAAAATACAGGTTTGTAGCCTCGATGGCTGAAATGGCAGCAGTTGCCGAGAAGCTGATCAACATTGACCTAGAGTGAACCAATGAGGAGCCTGGTAATAAGCAAAAATTACGTTCTACTGGATTCGAGAGTGGCTATTGAAGGAAGACGACTTCACACTCTAGGTACCGTTTCTTTTTTGAACAATCATTCCTCTCTTTTTTGGGGCTTCATGCCATTTCCTTGTAGTTAAGGCAATTAAGAACGTCCTTCAAAATGAAGTAGAAAATTTCACCTCCATTTCTACCTTATTGCATGTACTCAACAGTTCCTGAATCAATATGGCATATAATTTCGAGTCCTAAGAGTACAGCCGTTTACGTGTATATTTGAGTCGAACAATCTCGCTTGAATGATCTCTATCAGCTGCTGAGAGAAAATAACAAAACAATGGTCCTACAATTGATTCATGATCACTGTGACATTAAAGGCAATGAGCTTGCTGACACACTTGCTAAGAAGGGGACAGCAATCTTGCAAGGCATAGATCGTCCGATGTCTTCTCGCACACAATCTTAAAGGCAATGAGCTTGCTGACACACTTGCTAAGAAGGGGACAGCAATCTTGCAAGGCATAGATCGTCCGATGTCTTTTCACACAATAAAGGCCTTCATCAGGAGAGAATTTAAGACCTCAAGGTGCAACGAACTCAGAGCTCGAACAAAGGAGAAATAGTGGACAATGGCACTCTCCGACTGGCTAAGAATCGAAGCCGTTGATGAGGTAAGACTACGTACAGGACACGATTGCCTGGCAAAACGCCTTCACAGATTGGGAGTATGCACACAACCCACATGCTCCCTATGTAATCTACAGGAGGAAATAGAGAAGACCCACCTGATTCGGTGTCCAGCCCTAAAGACAACGACAGAAACCCAGAGATACTGGGAAGCAAGAAGACTGCTAATGAACTGCAATTGATGAACTGCTATATATGTATCTCCCCCAACCATGGGGGAAACTGAAGTCAAAGTCTAAGGGCTAATGATAAATATCATAAAGTCTGCCATTTGAAATAATAATAATCTCGCTTTACTGATGGGAGCAGAGATATGATACCACCGCATTGGCTCAATTTATTCACCATAATTAAGTTTGAATAATAATACAGTATTTTTAATTCGCTGTAGTATTTGAGCCTTTAGGAAGAGACGATTTTACTGAACCGATAATTCCCAATGTTTACTCTGCATGCACTTAACGTCCCCTGGGTGAAGATTTTTAATTGTTGGCAAATATTAGAGAGAGAGACAATGAGGAAGTAAGGGAATATTGTGAGTTCAATTTGTGTCCAGACAGAGGGGGGGGGGGAGGAACTAGACAACAACATCAACAACAATGACTTATTAAATAGTAATAGATTTCATTTTATTGTTTAGGGCAAAAATTTCTAACTCCATAGCAGGACTCTAGTTGCCTTCATGGCTACTAATGTTGGCTCCATGGATTATACTCCAAGGGGAAAAATCATTTGGGAAGAGGACTGAAACGAGGCTGTAATGAAATTTAAAACGACTTTGTGCGTTGGAAATTAGGACACATGGTTTTTTTCAACTTATCATTTTCCATTTATGCGTGGAAAAGCTTAAAATTGAACCTGTTTGAACTGCACTGGGTAATTCTGAACAACAACAACAAGAGCGATATTATAAAGCATATTTCACTTCGGAGATTTGAAAGGATATCTTCATTTTACCCAAGTCAAATTGGGGGTGTGNTGGACACTTATTATAGTAGATTTAGGAAAAATAGTTTGATTTTATTGGTAAGTGCTTACTTCAACGATGCGTCCACCAATCCCGAAATTAGTTTGTTTGCAAGCGACAATGGCGTCCATGGTGGTGAAATGGTCCGGGCAGATGGCTCCTGCTTCGCCATCTTTAGGCGTAATTATTAAAATACGAGCGTCTTCTACCGACTGTGTCGAATTGAGCTCCTTCACTTTGAAGGAACCACTAGTGTTTGAGCTCTTCACAGTGAATTCAACCTGAATTAGAGCATGTAGTATCTTTATAAATATTAATTGTAATAGTATTCAACTCCAAAGTAACAAAATGAAATTTACTATTGACATTAATTATTTTACAGCACACTTTTTATGAATCGCCATCTATTATGTATTTAGAAAATGAAATTAATTATTTAATAAAATAACTAGAAATGCCATTTAAAAAAGTGGCAATAGGGAGTCCCTCAGGTGAGAGTTTCGAATTCTCCATTTCCAATGCGATTGAAAATTTCTTTCGCCGGTGGGAACTAAACTCACCAACTCTGGTTTGACACATGTCCACGGAGACCTATGCGCGATCGAAGCACAACCTATTCATTAATTTGACATTTCAAGTACAATGTTTCTTGATAATGCAGCAAATAACTGCACCAGTTACTTCGGCAAAAGATATTTCACAATATGGGGTGTGCGATAGACTTTCCTCCACGTGGTGCACCCTGGGCAACGTATACTCATACGGCAAAAAAGCATATTAACCGGCAGTTGACTTCTGACTTCAAACTACCATCACCCCACTGTATGTCCTATTCCACCACTTCCACAGTACTCACCTCACCTTTTATCTACCTTTGTGTCTGTCTCTTTTACATCTTTAAAACACTCTTCTACCTTTTCTACCTTCGTCTTTGAAACACTCTTCTGTCCCTTCTCTAGACTATTTTCCCTTCGATGTTCCTTCTCCTCTCTGTGAAGCCTGAAGTCAACTAAAGGGCTAATGATAACCATCAAAACGCCTGCCATTTGATATAAATAAATGATATTTCACAATATTATGCCCTACTTTAAGCTTGAATTGGCGTTGACGTACCTTCTCGAGTTCTTCCAACTCTTCTTTCTTGTAGTCAATACGAAGGGGATTCCACGAAATTTTGGCTCGGGGACTGGTATCCTGAGCACACTGAACACCCGCGTCTTCGTTTTCTGTACAATCGTGTCTAGCCCAACCGTCAAACTTGCAGTCAATCAATCTAGATTCATTGCCCATACAGCGGACATTGTCCATTAAATAATTTCCTGCAATTGAAACCAGGCAATATCAAACTTTTGTTCAGATAAATAAATTTGATTTTATCGGTCTGAATTGAGCTTGTAGTGGTCATTGTATAATTCTGCCATAGAATCGTTCCATTCACTCAACTTACACCAATTATTGTTGAAGCTTTTCTGAGTGGAGGTTAATAAACCTGTTGAATTATTCATGCACTGGTCCCGCCGGCCTTTGGAATAATGAGTTCTGTGAGGAAACTTCCTATTCGAATACAAGAACTTTGCATACATTGCAGAATCTGGTTACGATGTGACCTCACTTGAGTTATTTATATTTAAAGCCATGAATTCCATTGGAGGATCACCGTTGAGGTCATTGCTATTAAACAGAACGATTTATCTCCTTCGATTAAAAAATCTGTCCATTTTCCGAAATACAAAAGTACTGACGAGCAAATTCAAAATTACATTCTTCAATTCCACATTTTATCATTCACGCCCAGCATAAACAGGCTCTAATAATAAAATCAGATAAAAGTTTTCAAGAAATCTAAAATTAGTGTTAAATATGATTGACACTAGTGACAGAAATTGAGGGTTTCACCACGTCCATAGGCAAATTAGCCTCGAAGTAAGCTTAAACGAGGAATTTTGCTTTTCTAAATTGGCTTATAAATTTATACATTATGGTGTAACTTTCTTCAAAATAGTACTAATTTTTTCCTTGTGATGCATTGATAAGATGTTTGAGCAGATATCAACGTTTTACTTAAAAGTTAAGTTCTACTAGAACTTACTGAACTGAAGCCAATACTAGTCTAGTACTCCCAACATCCAATGATTATTGAAGTAATCGACATTCCATTTCAATGTTAATAATAAAATGTAAAAGATAGCGAATAGGTATTTGAACCAACTGAGTTGAATCGCTCTTCTATATCTATTCAATTATCTTTTTTTAAAATTCAACATACCTATGAACGGGGTAGCAATTTTTTAAATTATTGGCCTTTTAAATAACAACGAGTCAACTAGCGAAGTTATTCAGAGAAATTTTGGGGTCATTAATTTAAAATGAAACTAAATGAACTTCAGAATATAAAAAGTCACTATAACAATATTGTAAATGTGATCGCGATTGACTTTTCAAACGCCATGTGAAATAAATCGATAAAAATTAAAAGCATTGAAACCTACGTCCTGTTATTGAGTGGAATTGATTCCTTTTCAGAGCGCGAACAGCAAAGCCCAATCCTAACTGTCGACAGACAACATTTGCCTCCTTGATTGACCAATTATCATCACACACACGACCCCAGGAATAACCGCGGTAGACACCCACCGTTCCAGAAGCAAAATTGTCGCCATCGAAGAGTTTCAAATCTCCGTCGACATATTTTCTGCCATCATTCGCCGATACTATTGCATTTAGAAGAAGTAGAGGAGGAAGAAGATGCAGCCATAGAGATAGGGAGTCAGCCATTGGGCAGATATATAGAAAAGTACTTGATGCCAAGAGAACAAGGTGCTTTTATAGCAGTCTTTGATTATGCTAATCAAATATGTGTAAGTTATTGTCGGAAATGTTCTTTCAGTAGTCACACATTGGCGCGCCACAAAATATCGATAGGGAAGGCTAATAGAACGATGATTCAATGATGTTAGAGAGACAAATACAAAGGTAGAGAAAAAGGTAAAGTGAGGTGAGTACTGTGAAAGTGGTTAAATATGACATACAGTGGGGTCATGGTAGTTAGAAGTCAGAAACCAACTGCCGGATAATAGACTTTTTTGCCGTATGAGTATACGTTGCCCAGGGTGGACCACGTGGAGGTAAGTCTATCGCCCGACCCAATTCAGAACATATTGACCTCCTGATTTAGGTCAGAAATTTATCATGTCTCTTCCATTACAACCGAAGGCAAATAAATTAGACCAAAGTTGATTCATTCGCTACATTTCAGCTCACATCAATTTACTTGTTGACAACTTGAAATGTTAGTTGAAAAATTTCCCTCGTAGGTTGTCTGAAAGGTAAACACGATTGACAATTTCGAGTGACATTTAAACTAATGTAAAGGCGGATTCCCCCCTCCCCCCTACCCAAAATTTTAACTTAGGTTAGTATCTTTAAATATATTAATATTTAATATTAATATTTAATTGGCATTTAAAAAATATTAATTAATTACTGAAATAGGCCGAGTGATTCGCATAATAGTTGAAAGAAAAAGATAATTTCATGCTGTTTATCAACCAATTCTTGCACTTTTTTATTGAAAAATTAATAAATGAATAAAATCATTAGACTTCTTAAAATTCGAACGTAATATAAATATTGATATTTATGTATAGATATCAATATCAATATTTTCGTCAATTATTTCGGAATCTCTGAAATGTGGAACTCTGTAGAAAGTTGGCAACATGTTGAGAAATTTAGTTATTAACGAAATGCTATGGATTTGACTAATAATAAATAAAAAAGAAGTCAGGTCAAAGTAAAATTAGAAAAAACTATTATAAACATATATTTATGAACATGCAACTTTTTTATTTTAAATAGTTAATTTGATTTTTAATATTATAATGTTTATAGGTTAATTATTGCCTGTTCTTTGAAAGCCTTGTAATGACCGTTGAAATTAACTTTACGTTCATCTAAAAGAAGAGCCTGAATTTGTGTAAACAACATATGTGCTAACTTAGATAATGAAAATTCACCAATTTCATTTTAATCTGAAGTTAATTTATAATTCATGGACACAACTGTGCAAGAATCAATAATGATAGACTGTATGTTATTTCAAATCTTAAGAATATAAAAACGAAGTCATATTTTTATGTTTATTACAAAACGAATTTACTTGAAATTGATTATTGCAGGGGAATTTTTAATAGTTTTTGTTCGAATTTTATGCACTTTCATCAAAGTTAAATCAGTTTGCTTATTTCTGCATTCTCTTTGTTATAAGGGTGCATTAGAAAAGGGATTAATAAGTAAAAATATTTTTTTCAACATCGATATATTAATAGGTTATTTCAACCTTTGTCAAATGACAAATCGTCTTTTGCTAGGCCAGCACACGTTGATGGAGCTTGCTAGAAGAATAATAATCTCGTAAATAGCCAACGGTAATTTGTAGTAAAAATGGGCAATTAATGTTTCACCCTCCGAATTTGATGCTAATTTTCTTGAAATTGACTTTAAAAACGTTCAAAGCATGAATCGGTATCCTCAGAAAGTACTTTAAAAATTGCAATTCAGTCAAATATCTTCGATGAAAAATATATCGATCGTAGATTATCAACGGATATTAATTAGAGTAGCAGTAAGTTTATTTTTTATTTTAGATAAATTTTGGAAGAAGAAAAATAATTTAATAAGGATATGATAACTTGAAGTAAGGATATATATGTATATATATTCTAATTAATATTAATTAATTTGGATGTTCGATAGACTTACCTCCACGTGGTGCACCCTGGGCAACGTATACTCATGCGACAAAAAAGTCTATCAACTGGCAATTGACTTCTGACTTCAAACTACCATGACCCCACTGTGTATCATATTCGATCTCTTCCATATTACTCACCTCACCTTTTCTCTGTCTTTGTGTCTGCCTGTCTCTTTTTCATCATCGAAACACTCTTCTGTCCCCCCCCCCCTACTTTTTGTCACTTTGATGTTCCTCCTCTCTGTGGAGCCGAGGTCAGTTAGAGGGATAAGCTGACTAACAAAACGCCTGCCATTTTAAATAAATAAATAAATAAATATCAATTAATTTTAATCAAGTCTGCTTGCACTTCGATGAATTATGTCTTTCTAAGAGTAGCTATTATTCATTTCACCATAAAAATACGCGTAATTGATTACTGTTTTTCGTATTCACACAATGCTTAAGCAAATAAGCACTTTTAATGAATAAATAAGCGTTTATGACTTTGAGCATCTGCTGAAGGCATTCTCGGTAAACAATGGACCTTTATATGATATTTTAAATACCTTATTTTAACAGGTTCAGTTCATCGAAAGTTGTATATTACTGCGCGAAGCAATTTTTGAATAATTTTTTATAAAATTTCA